TCCCCTTCCCCTTGGGGGTGTCGGCTGTGTGGTCATCCTCCGTCGGGTGGCTTGGTGGGCCGCCCGTCGGTGCCCCCGTCGGTCTCCTCGGCGGGCCGGGCTTGACGGCAGACTGGAGTGCCTCATTGAACGCCGCCTGTTCCGCCATGATCGCCGAGGTCACCTCCTCGAAGGTCCGGGCGACGCGCATGGACATGGCGAGCTGGTGCGCCGTGGCGTCCCAGTAGGCGACGACGGCCTCGAGCTTGCTCGAGTGAAGCCGGGCTTTGGTCGTCCACCAATCGACGTACCTAATGACGCCGGCCTCTGTCCCCACGCCGGTCAGGACCCAAGCCCAGCGGATGGCGTCCAGGCCGTCGACAACTGCCCAGATGCCCCTCGGGACGAACGGCTGGTTCTCCTCCACCGCCAGGCCGCCGTCCACGAACTTGCTGCTCTGTGCCCCGCCGGTGCTGCGACGGCCGGCGAGGGGATTGACGACGCCGAGGGAGGACCAAGTCCGGGCCGCCAGGATCTCGCCGAGGCCGAGCGGCGTGTAGAGCTTGGACTTGGTGTGCTCCCAGTGGATCCTGGCGAGCACCTCCTCTGCTCCGACGAGGCGTTCTGTCGGGAACGAGCGGGGCTCACCCCCGAGCTGGACGGCGTTGTAGCGGGCGACGAGGTCGGTCCACTCCGGGAAGGTCCGCGGCGGCTTCTCGCCGACCATCGTCGGCAGGGTGGCCGGCGGCGGTGCAGCCGTCGACGGGGCCGGGGCAGGGGTGGAGAACTCGTTCCACTGCCGCCGGGCCTCCGACCACATGTGGCGGATGATCGCCCGGACGACTGGCTGCTCCGCCGGCGTCGCTTTGTATGTCTTCCCCACGTCGGACCACTCGTCGGCGACGAGGGCGAGGGTCGCCGTGCGGTTGAGAGACCGCGCCTTCAGGTAATCGACGAGGTCCGGACCCGCCCCCGCCGACGTGGCGAGGTCGTCGAAGTCGGTCAGGACGTCGGCGACGAGCTGCGGACCCATAGCCATGATCACGACGAGGGGGCCGGCGGGGATGACGGGCGGTGCGGTCAAAGGCGGGCTGCGGCACGAGAACAAGATGCACTATGCGCAGCGACGGGCTCACCAAGTGCACGGCCCCGCTCCCTTTTATCAGGACGACGAAGAATCGTCGGAATCTGAGCTAGATGCCACTGGGGAGGCTGCCTCCTCCGTCGGCGACCCGACACCGTCAGCCGACGGGGCCTTCGGAAAGCACCTAAGGCACTTGGCGGCTCCCGCCGGTAGCTCGGTGATCCTATAAAAACTCCGGACGCCGTATGGCCAGGAACAACCCCGCGCTTTCCACAGAAAGCGGTCCGACGAGGCCTCCGTCGGATCAGGGGCGTGAGCCCGTTTTTTGCGGTCATTGTAAATGAGGTGCTCCGGCGGCGCGACGGCGACCTGCTTCACCGTCTCCGGTCTGACGGGGCCGGGCTCGAACGCGACCGTCGGGGAGTGATCCTCGGGCGGCGGCGTTTCCACCTGAGCCGGCTCTCCATCCTCCAGGGCCAGCGGCGGCTGATGGCCGAGAGCCGGTGGAGCCTTGGCCTGCGGCCGGACGCTGACTATCTCGACGTCATCCGCCAAGATGCGCCGAGGGACGTCCGGGGCGACTGCCAGCGGCGTCGCCTGGACGTACCGCTCGACGGCGGCCGACGACCATCGGCCCAGCAACTGGATGATGGGCGTGTTGACGCCCTTGGACGCCAGCCACGCCGCGCCGGCCACCCGTGCCAAATGGCCGTTGAAGAGCTGGACGGTGGCGCCGTTGTGGTCGGTGGTGGTCAGCTGGATCCCCGCCGCCAGCAAGACCCGCCGGAAGAAGAGGACGGTCTCTGACTTCTCCCAGGTGTCACCGGTCCCGTCGGGGAACAGGGGTGCCCCACGCACCCACCGTCCGGCACGCCGAAGGCGGGAGACATGGCGGAGCGCCGCGTGGTAGGGGCACAACGGCGCCACGGTTGCCCCGCAAGCGCACCGTAGCTGGCGTTGGGTCAGCTCGACCTCGCCGCCGGTCGCGGTCTTGTGCAGGGGAAGCCGGAGGGCGACGGTGCCGTCGGCGACGTCAATGTCCTGCGTCCGCGCCGCTGAGAACTCGATCTCGCGGAGCATGAACCAGGATGAGGGCGTCGACGGCGTGCGCCGTGACCCACGGGCTCCACGCGTCGGCTCCCGGCGGGTCCACCCTGGAGACCAGGGCCACCAGGCGGTCGACGGCGAAAATGGCCTTCAGCTTCGAGCCGGGCAAGCCACGGACCACTGCCCGCGCATAGCGTCGCATGGCCCGCCGGATGAGGGGGTCGACGGCCTCGCCGCGAAACTGTTCCTGGTATGACACGGCGGCGTCGAAGTAGTTCTGGACGGAGCGATAGCCGCCTCGACGGAAGGTGGCGGCAACTTTCCGCAGATATGGGCCATGGAGCGACGGCCCAAGTCTCGCACGCTTCCTGCCACGTGCGGACTCTCGACTGGAAGGGTGCCTGGGACGACTTCGCCAGGATGTTTTCGTCGATTTCCGCCAGCGCCGCCTCCCTGTTCTCCGGGAGGGCTGCTTCAAAGGCGGTGCGTTTGCACGCTCGACGGGTGTCCCTCCTGAGCGGAATGTCCTTCCGCTTTTCCGCCGGCCGGTCAGGGACCGTCGCCGGGGGCGGGATTGGTCCGCGAACCGTCGCCGCGACCACTTCTGGACCGTCGGTCGGTACTACGGCCGTCGCTGAGGGCCCTATCGCGGGCCCCGCCGGCACGATCTGAGTTGACGGGGCCGGTCCTGAGGACCTTCGCCCCTCTGGCTGGCTAGCCGAGGCGGTGGGAGGGTCCCCCTCCCGGCGAGTGCCTCGAGGACTGCGGCCGGGACGCCAGCTGTGACTAACGCCGAGGCCCGTGCGAGGGCGGAGTCGACGTCCACGGCGCCCACCGTCGGCAACAGGGGCAAATGGTCAGATGCCCCCAGCTCGACGAATGCCCTCACTAGCCGGCCTCTGTCCACGGCGGGGCCGCATGGGGCCAAAGGGTGCCTAGGCGTGCGCCGGCCTGGGCGCCTCGAGCCAACCGAACCTCCTAGAGAAAAAGGTAAAAGAAAAACAGGTGCACGACGAACGACGGGCAAGCATGAGAAACTCACTGCGACGGCCTCCCTCCTTTCTCGCGCCGGTGGCGCCTGATTGGCTCTGAGTCGGGCCCTGGGCGATTACAACGCCGGGCAGAAAAGGCATTAAATTAAGGCGTCGGGAGAGGCCCGCGAAGGCTTCACCGACGCACCCCCTGAGGCTTGAATTCCCACGTCGCCAGCGACAAGGCCGTCGGTGAGGTCGACCTTGTAGAAGACGGCGACGGTGAGATAGCGACGGGGGCCGGCCGACCGGGATCCGGTGCCGGGACTGCTCGTGGCAGTCCTCGCACTCATGGTGGTCGTGGCGATCCAAGTCGACGGTGCCGCCGGCCCGAATCAACACCGGACGGAGGCATCAGCCGGGAATGCCTCGGCAGCGACCGTTGGTGCACGGGTGCCCACACCACCCGACACACCAGATCTCGCCGGGGATCTTCTCCGGAATGCGGCCTCCCCGGACGCCGGGCGGCAGCGCTCGCAGCACATAGTAAGCCGCTGCGGCGGCCGCCGGTACCATGGCTGTGGAACCGTCGGCGGCGGCCCTCTCGATGTCCTCCAAGTGCTCCAGGTTGGCGACGGTGAGGGGCCGGAGCGTCTCCGGCAGCGGCACGTCGGACCTCACGCCGGACTTGCCCATCAGCTCGACGTGGTCGCGCCACTCCTGCGAGCAAAGCATCCGGCGGATGTGAGCCAGACGCCGGTACTCGCGCCTGTGGCGCTCAAGCTCGGCGGGGGAGGCGTTCTGCCCCGGCCGCCGGGGAAGGATGGGGAAGCCGGCGCCAGTAATCGGATCCGCGTCGGGATACATCTCTCGCGGCGTCGGTGTGGGTGCCCTGCGAGATGCTCCCGACGGAGCCGGCGGCGACGGTGCCGGCGCTGCTGGCATCGCCTTGACCTGGGGCTCGACGGTGCGCTGCTGCCGCGACTCCTCCGCAAACTGCCGGCGAAGCTCCTCGGCGATGCGGTCCTGGTAGTCGACGGGCGCCGGCACCGAGGTCCTGGACGGGGCCGGCGGAGCTGCCGGCGCGACCGTCGGAATCACCGTCGACGGGGTGATTCGGTCCGGCAGCACCGTCGCATATCGCCGGTAGTACTCCTCTGCCGTCGGGAGGTGGTGCTTGTAGGCCAGCTCCGCGTCGGTGCGACAGAGGAACCCCAGCTGGTCCCACATCTGCGGCGGGCCGCCTTTCGGCACCGACGGCGCCGGGCGGGTGGGCTTCTGCGGGTATCCACCACCCGATGGCTTTGCTGCCGGCGGCATGTCTGCCGAGGACGACGGTGCGCCGGCAACCCCCGCGTGGGCCGAAGGAGGCGCTTGATGTCGTTCGACGGGGGGTTCCGGGCACGGGTCATCCGACGGCGACGGAATGGCCGCCGCTGCTCCAACTGAACTCGCCGGTGTCACCCTCGACGAGTCGCCATACACGACGGGCCCTGGGGCGGCGGCTGGACTGTTGATCGCCGACACCAGGGCCCGCCGTTCCAATCCGCTCCACTCGGCGAAGAGCTGACTCAAGTCATCGCCGGCGGCGACGGCACGTCGGACCATGTCGAGGGCCGCGACGACGTCGGCAGACTGGAAGGCCATGGCGACACGAGGATCTAACGGCAAGCTGAAAAATCGTCGGGGGACGTGGAGCCAGCAGCAGCTTCGGCATCCACGTCGATTCGACGGTTGTCCCTACGCACATGAATGTGCTACACAACAACTTGACCAACAAGCACCAAGGCAGTCGGCCGCCCCGTCGAGAGCTCGGATGGAGGTGACCTAAACCCTTGATACATACTGCCTAGTGACCTACTGCAGTATAAATTCGCCAAACCTGGCCATGTCGATGTCTGGAGATCTAGGGCGCATGCTCAAGGCCAACCGCTGCAGAAAGCGCTCCACAGGCTCCTGCATGCGAAAAGAGCACCCAGTGGGTCATGGAAGGATATGCAGTCGACAAATCAGCTCAGCGCTCGACCTCGCGAGAGCGCAGCAAGTTCAGCTCAGCACCTCGCCACAGCACCTGGATCTGATGGCTGTTCCCGAATTAGGAGGCCATGTGACAGGTGCCTTCAGAACTGCGGTGCCCAACTTAACCGACGAAGTTGATACTTTGTTTGATGAAGGCTTGCTGCAGCATGCAGGCTGTGCTTTCTGCAGCGGATGGAAAGCAATGCCGTGGCACCCCCCCCACCCAACCACCGACTCCATGCAAATCACCATGCTCGACTATGCTCGCGACTCATGCATGTCTTGCAGGAGATCTAGCTTCCTGCCTGCACGGAAACGTTTGGCTCGTTGTCTAACAGCCGGACGGTGGCCTGGCCATGTCGGATCAGGTTGGACCCGAATTACAGCGTCCGTGCAGTTGAAACGACGAGAGCAAATTGCAACCTGTCAAGCAGAGAAAGCTCTGCAGATTGGTGCAGATCTGGTGCAAAGAGGAAGGCCTCCATGACGGCTCGTGGCAAGCAGCGTCTCAGCCTCGGCCTGGCACAAATCCACATGTCCACAAGACTGGTGACTAAGCACTCTAAGCTCTAAGCTGAGGCGGAAGCAGTGGCAGCTGAGACCACCCGTCCACCAAGGTCGCGGGGGCCCAGCGCGCGGAAGAAACTACAAGTAGGAATCCGACTGCTGGGGAGTCTGGTGAGCTGGTGCGTTGCTTACAAGTGCTTGTGTAGTCTCAATGCTACAAGAGCTGGGCTCAAACTTTGTGAAGCTTGTAGAGGCGCGCGAAGCATGTCATTTGCTGCATGAATGTCCGAATCTGCAGGGACACCATCATCACGCAAAGATGATGTGTCTTTCTTGTGATACAAGGCCACCGTAGCACGAGTTCACACAGTTCGGCGAACTTGCAAACATGCCGGGTGGGGGTGGGCAATCATTGAGCGATTTGATTGAATGACTTTGGGGCTGAGATTGCTCTCACTCTAATGACCCCGGAACAAGCCCCAGGTGAAACACCGCAGAGACTCCGTAGAGCACAAGGCGGTAAAGCACCACCTTGATGCACGCGCATGGAAGCTCAATGCTCAAATCAAGGTCTGGGATGACCATTTGTTCTCTTCTTATCACTGGTGGATGCTTGTGCGGTTGCGTGCAGCCGTTCTTTGAAGATGTGATCTCAGGCAGCCGCCATGCCTCGCTTCTCGGGAGCGAACAGCCACAAGTTATGATTAGCATCACGTCATGGGAACACAGGAAAAGCTAAGGGTGGCTACACTTCGCGCACAGCAGCTGGAGCTTCCACGAGTCCTTGTGGCCAGTTTCCAGCCAGTGCCAAGATCACGAAAACACTGCAATAACATCCTGCTGAAAGCAAGCGTGTGTTTTCGTGGGGTTTAGCAGGTTGGTGAGACAATGCATCCGAGTCCTGCCAGGAGCCACACGGCTGTTGAGCGGTAGAGATGCTACAGATACAATACGTGCGCACGGCATGACAACCTCAAACGTCGTTCATGGAGAAGCTTCTTCGATCCTGGCACCACATGAGTCTCGGTGCCAGGCTCAAGGCACGTCGAGCGCCTGATCAGCACGCACCTGCCAGTCTGCCAGGCTGACATGTAAGGCCGTCAAATCTTGACGAGTTCCATTATAACTCGTGAGCTCTTGGATGTCTGCCCATGCAGCCCACCTTCTCTATGACCTTCTGAACAGAGTCCTTCGAGTGAATGGCCCGGAACTTGGGGTGCTGCTCCAGCACCGCCTGCGTCGAACATACCAAAGCATTCTGAGCATGACTCCACCCGCCGGGCCCTGGCCTCTGCCATGCCCTTCACCTCAGGGTCAACGGCAGGTCGGTCCTGTGGCGGCAGGTCGTACTTGAGTTTTGTCGGACAGAAGTTTGATCTTGTGGTCCACGCACGGTGGAGTCACGATTGTTTCGTGTGATGTTGTCTTCATTCTCGTCTTGTCTTTCTTTGGATCATCATTCCAGAAAACATCGTTTCCGCCATGTTGACTGTACGCGGTCCTGAACGCACCTATCTGAGCTCCGAGCATACCTGAAACTTGGTTGCTCACAGTTTTCATAATGCCTTCAAACGGCCTCCGTTTCTGCGTCAGGCTGTACTTCAAGCCTTGTGATCGCTTTGTCGTTGTTTTCGTCGTGTCTAGCGGAACGTGACATCTTCCCTACAGCGGAGATGCCGTAAATAAAATCCCGGATAGCTCCAGCGTCATGTGACGAAACCAGCAATCTGCACGCGAGTCCTGAGACCAATTTTTAGCTGTTTAGCTCAACAATTCACGATGCGTGAACCAAACCGCAACAAAGAAGTTGACGATGACAAAAACAGCCTGATGCCACAAAAGAGATCCTGAGCAAAATCATTCGTGGAAAGAAAGACAAAGAGAAACTACCAGCACCAACAGATAAGAGAAGAGAAACTCGCTTGCAACACCCGTCCACATAAATTCTCAAAATATCGTCTCCGCATGACTGGGTCAGCACAGGCGGTCGGAGTACTTTGAGGGAACAACAGCACCGATTGTGCAGCATTGATGGCCACCTATGAGTCGCGCGAAATACCGCAATTTCGGCGCCTCCCCAGCAGCTGTGGAGCTGTCCTCAGTCACAGGAAATCTTGACTTTCCACGTCCATTCGTGGCTGCACGTCTCGGGCAGCTGCCCAGTCTTTTTGGCCATGTTCCTGGACTTCTTTTCTCCTTTCGGCCACGAGCCAGGAAACACAACTACGAACGACAGCAGCTTCATGTGGCCTCGACCTGCGGCTGGAGGCCACGCTGTACTCGCTGCGGTGGTCCCCCAAAAGGCTCTGCCCATCCACGCCATCCTTCAAGCCAAAATCGCAAAGCGATGGGCTCAGACCATCCGCGTGCAGCAAGTTCAGATGTGAGAAGAGGGTTCCGGGTTCGCAGAGCAAGACGAACAATCTGTCCCAAATAACGACCGCCTCCGCCTTGGAGCTTCCTGCGGCCGTGCTTTCCTGGCCGAGCTCTCCAGTTGACTTCATGTCGACGGGCGCATACAGTCTATTCACTAGTCAGTCTAGTCTGTATATGAGCTATGAAACGTCTGGTCTGAAGGGGTGTTCAGCAGCGATCTCAGAAAACGGCAGTGCCCCAGCTTTCAGCCAACATCGCTCCGGGGCCTTGGGCCTTAAAAAACAAAAGCTCTGCAGCTGGCCCCAAACAGCGGCGTACCTCGTACTCTTCCGCGAAGCTTGCGAGGAGCTCATCTTTAAACCTTCAAGAGGAGGGTCCAACGAAGGGACCCGACTAAAACACATGTCGGACGGGGCGGGCGTAACTGCTGTCGGAGGACGCTTCTTGTTCTTTCATCAGCTTTCCTGCGCGATCTTTGAGTGCCTTGGCGAGACAGGCTTTTGCAAACAGAAGTCGCCTGCATGGTCGTTGGCAGGTGTACTGACGTTGGTGCAGGGTGCAGGTGGCTTCAAGTTGGAAGCTGCTCGGGATGAAGTTTACCATCTTCCTCGCCCCAACCAGGACAAGCTGCACTTAAATCTGTATTCTCGGACATGAGGATGACTTCTTTCTGGGTCCGGTTGCCCAGGTTTGCCACTCAACGGCTTGGAGCAGTGCTTAGTGCGTGAATACTGCCGAAGGCTCTTCCTGGACTTCTTGAACCCTCCTGTGTGTGTGGCTGACGAATGCTCGTGGAACGCAGTGTGCTGTGGCCGGTGAGCTGGCGCGGTCTCGCAAACACCCAGGAGTCCCTGGAGGCCGGAAGTCGATACCGCTTCACTCGAGTGTCCGCTTGCCGGCCTGCACTTACGGTTCTTCCTGTTCGGCACCTCGCGGTGTAAGCTGCGCTGGGCTTATACAATAGTTGCAAGGTGTGATAGCAAGCACACGGCACGAGCACGAACGAAGCATGTTCACTTTGGCAGAAGAGCACGAGTACCCAAGGCTCGAGCACCCAGAGCTTGTCGAAACTCCAGATCTGCAACCTTGGAGCCCAGTCTGCCCAGTTCTCATGACGTACAGCAAAGCGTGCACGAATGACCGGGTCCGCTTCCCCGGGAGGCTCCAGGATCCGACTTTCGGAGCTAGGTGGCCGCAAGGAAATGTGCTAGTACTGCTTACGACGATCAGGGGCGCCCACATATTCGTCGAAGTCCAAACCCTCGGCGAAGTTGATGAGGTTGTCGGCCTCCTCTTCCTCAAACTTCTCCTTCTCCTGGGTCTTCACTGCACTGTCAGAGCCAAACTGCGCATCTGCTCCCCGAAGTGCCTGCGCAGTCATCGCCCAAAGCGGCTTTGCACTCTGCGCCTCGCGAAAATCTCCAGGGAGGACGTGGAGACGGCCGGCCCCACACAGTTGTGGGCCTTCGCGGGCACCTTGCCCTCAACAGCTGCTGCCGCAGCCCGCGCAATCTCGGTGAGTGCTGGCCTGAGAGCACTCAGACAGTTGCAGCTCGGTACCAGACTGAGCCCAGCTGAGGCAGCTCAGTTAAGCTCCATGCTGTGCGGACTGCGCAGCTGCCTTGGCCTGCGATCTACGACTTTTCGGTTTCATGAAGAACACTTCTTTTGTTGCGGAGGTTTCGGAGGCTCCTGCCTCTGCCTTGGCCGCTTTCTCAGCTTTGGTTGCAGCTTCCTCCTCTACGAGTACCAGAGCACCCATCGCAGTCCGTTCAATCTCAACACTTTACGGTTCTTCAACACGGAAAAGAAAGACGAAACCGTCCTCCCTTCGCTTGTCGCTTCGCTCTTGCATCATTCCCCGCACCGCTTCTCGGTGCCTTGCTGGGCCAGATTCGGATTCAAGCGTGACTGCCAGGCAGGCGGAGCACTTGTCAAAGGCGGTTTTGAGCTTTATCCTCTTGGCGACTTCATCCTGCTCTCCTTGCTCGGCCTGCAGGAGAAAGATTGCATCTCGTCCAGCAAACTTCAGCGTGAAACGCGAAACCAGCGACCATGGCCTGGTTGCGGTCTTCCCTCATTTGCTCTTGCAACTCCCGGAGCCATCGCCTCAGAGGAACATTGGCCTAACAAAGCTCTGGCTCTGCAAGGCATGCTGCAAGGAAACCGAGTCCAGCAGCACGTGTCTTCGAAGAGCAGCGCTGGGGCCCCTCTTCTTCACGGTCGGCTCGTAGTTCCTGTCGTATTGTGTTCAGGATATTCCATATCTCGGCTGTAACTGGTTGGCCATGCAAGGGCTTCTGGTTCGTGCTCGCAGCAAGTGGCCCAATTTGCTGAGGAGAGCACCTCAACGGCCTTAGGCCCACCTCCGAGTTTGAGGCAACCGCTGACCTGAACAGGCCAAAGCTTTTCATGACCCACGTGAAGAAGCTTTCAGCCTGCACCCCGGCCTAAATGGCATAGGATCTTCGGCCACAGCCTTGACTTCATCGCTTGGGCGGTTGCCTTGCAGCCGCGTCACAGACTTCACTTTTGTCGCATCTCGCCCAGGGTGCACTGAGAATGCCGCATAACATCACTCCCTTGAAGTTGCCGAGGCCGGATGGCGGTGGCGGGGCATCGAAGGGAGCGGCACCTGTGATTGCTTGGCTTGACACTCACTCCAACAGCCAGCATAAAGATGGGCATCCAGCCTGGGCCCTCCATGGCTGCACGGCCTGCAGGCACGATAAATCGAGTGACCCGGAAGTCAGCGCCAAGGTCGGCTGCAAAACGTGTCGGAAAAGCTGCATGCAGGGAGGAAGAAAGTCAGCACAGGTAGACAGAGTCTCGCCTTGAACGCCAGGCCGTCTGAATTCGAAAGTCGGGCAGATTACTGCATGGAGCCAACCGCATCAATCGAAATGAGATTCGACTGAGTGTAACCAGTGCAGCATCTCTCAACCGCCGTCAAGCCCACACACACAGGACATTACAGAGACTGCATCTCAATAAGTGGCACACGCTCATGGGCATGTCACTCCTTGTACGTACCCTGAAACATCTACAGGTCCTAGAGGAGCAAAGCCCAAAGTCCCCATAGACAGGAGATCCCAATGCGGATTTGCACTGGCATCAGGTCACGTCGATTCTTTTTCTGTTGTGATACAAGGCCACCAAAGCATGAGTTCACACAGTTCGGCGAACTTGCAAACATACTGTGGTGGGGGGCTCTCCTTGAATGGGTTTGGGGGCCGAGATTCCGCTTCTCACTTGCTCCAACAGTTCCTGCTTGCCACGGATCAACCCCAGGTGAAACAGCCGCGGGCTCTGCAGAGCACAAAGCGGGTAATTGAAGCACCACCTTCATGCATTGCAACGAGGCAAACACACTCATGATTTCAGCTTATGATCTGCGACGATCGTTCTTATTGCCATCAACAGGCGATCATGAACTGGCGGGTGCTTGTGCGATTGTTTGCACGTGCAGCCGTTCTTTGAAAGAACGGCTCTCTGCAGCTGCCATGCCTCATGTCTGGACAGCCAAAGACCGAAGAGGTGTGAGGCTGCCACTAGACACTTGCAGCTGCAGTACACGACGGACACGAAAACCACAGCACTGAGGGTGGTCACACTTCGTGCGCGGCAGCTGGCGGTTGCCATACCTCCAACCGGCGAGCTTCAGTCCTAATAAAAAGTTAACCATGATGTAAATCTAAGCCACGAGTCCTGCCTGAACTCATATGGCAGGTGAGCGGTACAGATAAGGAAGCATTGATGGATCAACCTACAAGCCAGGTCACGCAAAAGAGTCCCATGGTCGAAGGCATCTGAGATCTTCGCCGGCTTGTGAAGCCGATTTTGCGTGTCTGATGAGGCGGTGATGACAGGAACCGGGCACGGGCCTCGGATTGACGAGCTCTGACTGCCCTCATCTGACAGCTGCACTGAGGACCCCAGCCCTCGAGCCGCATGTGGTCTGCCTGAGCAACAACAGATCTGTCACGCGACGTTCTGGCCCACGTGCTGCTTCGAACTCTTCCGTGGTTTGCATGTAGGTGCCAGACCAAAGGCATGTCGACCACCGGATCAGCGCGCACCTGCCAATGGTACTTACGTTCGCAGCCATATTACCACATCTCTGTGGCCCGCCTTCTCTATGATCTTTTGGACGGAGTCCTTAGAGTGAATGGCCCGGAACTTGGGGTTCTGCTCCAGTACCGCCTGACTCATTCCAACATTAGCGGATTGGTGTCTTCCCTGTATGATGGTGTACTCCCTGCCTCAGCCATGTCCTTGACCTCTGGGTCAACAGCAGGCCGCTCCTGCAGCGCAGACGTGCAAACTGCAGCCTCCGGCAGCCTAGCCTGAATAGTTGTGTCAGCACTCCAGTCTGTCTCGTCTTCAGGATGCTGAACCAGTGGCAACACTGTCAGTCACTGTTCAGAAATGCCTTTCACAAGATCAGAACACCTGGCTTACCAAGCCTCCCCAGCAGCAGTGGAGCTATCCTCAGCTGGCAAAACCACGTCTAACTCTCGCATGTGAACTGCCCATGTCCCATGTGTCTCAGACAGCTGCCCATTCCCTTTGACCATTGTCACGGGCTTCCTTATTCCTGTGATTCCCACATGACCGAAACCCACGTGCACAGTCCAAGTAAATCATCTCAAACGTCGTGTCTTTGCCTGTCCTTGACCTGCGGCTAGAGGCAACGCTGTACTCGCTGCGAAGGTCCCCCAAGAGGCTCTGCCCATCAACGCCGTCCTGCAAGTTTGATGTAATTGCAGAGCAGCTGAGATCCAAGCACCTGCTTCCCAGTGGCAGAATGAAGCTCGAATAATTCAAAATACACGAAATTATTTGCAACATCTGACGCATGAGATGAGAGCGGAACAGAGGCCTCTAACTTTGAGCTTCCGGCGGCTGTGCTTTCCTGGCCGAGCTATGTCGATGCCAGCGAAGTTGGCATGGTCAGCTGTGGAAGATACATAGAGCTTCAAAACGAGGAAAGAAATACGCCAAAAAGGCAAGCTGCAGCATTCTGGAACGCATCAAGATATGCCGCAGCGAGATGTGCATGACCGCCGGACAAGCACTGGCACCACGATCTCCTGTTGGTAAACACAATTCGAAAAAGCAGCAGCAGTTTGTCCGGCCAACCCAGAGCAGGCCTTGCTGCGTTGCACTGGTACCTTGTGCTGCAGTGTTCTGCGTGCTGTTTCGCAACATTGTGGTCACAGTGCGCATGTGTTCGCCATCAGACCTTGTCTTTGTTAGATCGACGGATCATCTCGCGTAAGCACAACAGCCTTCCTCACGTCGCTATACCATCCTGTATGTAGCAGCATACATCACTGCGTGATGTCACATGCTTTCCGATTCTCCATAGTTGCTGGCAGCTTGTTGCTGAAACGGAAAGCCTTAAACCATTGAAGTATCGAGACTCCTGTGTGCGATCTAGTCTACACATCTCGATGTTCACATGAGGGGCTCGCAAAGTAGATTGGGCTAGGGTTGAACATGATCGTACCACCAGGCAAATGAGCCAGCGTGCAGCAGCTCGGAGATCAAAGAGAGGAGCACAGAAAGAGGACATGCTGCAAAAATACAGGACCGAGACGAGACGATGCAGAAAGACAACGCAATATCATGAGCTCAGAGGCTCTTTCTGAGCTGCTGATGTTGCGCTGTCTTGCCGCTGTTTGCGATCAAACTTAGAACACTTCTTCAAGCTCTGTCCACGGGACCAGGGTCCTGCGCCTACGATGTCCATATGTATTCTTCCAGCGTAGATTCCCAAACAGTCAATGAGCACCATGACGACTACGACGACCACGACCACAACGACCAAAACGACCAGGGCCACGAGGACGACCAGGGGGATGACCACCAGGAAACCACAGGAGGCCATCCAGAGACCACCAGGAGACGCCCAGATATCACCAGGAAGCAAGTTCTTGCTTCCTTCAGTTCAAGTGCACAGCCAAAATGCTTTCCTAAACAGGACGAGGACGAGCAACATGCTTGTCGTCAGACACTGGCGCAACTCAGGACTTCCCTTTACGTTTACTTTGAGAAGATTCTCAGCTAGCTCTCTCGATCCCGAACTCCTGCAACCTAACGACTAACACGGCTCAGATTAGGCCCACACTTGAACACTCGACGACAGATCCTTCTCGTCCCCGATACGACCCAAGGCAGAGGATAGCACCTCGTAGTCTTCGTCGTCGAGGCTTGCGTTGAAGCTTGCAAGAAGCTCATCCTTGAACCTCGCACACCAAGGGAGCGTCCACTGAGCGAAACAAACCAGCCGTCTCCACGAAGGCTTCACATCGTCGAGCGCAGGCACACAGTTTCTGCCGAAGTGCGCTTCTTGTTCCTTCTTCAACTTCCCGGTGCGGTCTTTGAGCGCCTTTGCAAAGTAAGAAGTCAAGAGTCAGCTTGCCTCGTATCAATCGTGTGTCGGAGGAGAGAGCAAACAAGGCTCGGGCACCCAGGGCCTGTCGAAACTCGAGATCTCCGACCTTGTTATCCCAGTTTGGCTAGAGCCCAGGTCCTGCTCGTAGCAGCTAAGTGGGGACGGCAGGCTGAGGCACACGCATATTTGTCGAAGTTCAAACCCTCAACGAAGTTGATAAGGTCGTCGAACTCCTCCTCCTCAAACTTGTCCTTCTCCTCTGGTTCAATCCAATCGGCTGCTAGCTGCCAAGATGCATAACAGCTGCAAGGGCACCTGCGGAGTCATCGCCCAGAGCGGTTTTGCACCCTGCGCCTCACGAGGATAATCTCGGGGAGTGAAGGTGAACCGTGAGCATTACAGTGTTTTGTGAGGTTCGGGCCACGAAACACTGCTGTGCTCAAGTTTTGTGAGCTTGGAGGCTGTGAAAGGTTGTTTTTTTTGAGCTTTACAGTGCTTTGTGATGTTCAGGCCACGAAACACTGCAGTGCTAAAAATCAACTGTTCCAAGCCCTGAAACGCACGAAACACCGTAGTGCTCAAAAATTCTGAGCATTACAGTGTTTCGTGCGCCCCATGCCCCAAGAACCACGAAGGGGGCCGCGAGCATAAATATATATATATATATGTATGTATACCCAAATGTGCACATAAACATATATATATATACAGATATAGGTATAGATATAGACATAGAGAGTGTGTGTGTACATACGTATTTACTTGTTCGTCTTTATGCCGTTATCTATTCACTCAATGGTTCAGTCATGAGCTCATCCATTCTCTCTGACTGCATCTATATCGTTCATGCACTGTGTAATGTAAATGTACATATACACACACACTGTATATGTAGTATATGTATATACTACATATATCATATAATACAGAAGTATTTGTGCATGCATGTACATGTATCTTTGTCGCTATATGATAATATGCATAGACGACGATATGAGGGGACAAGCCGAAGGGAGAGCTGAGTCGCCTTCGCCGGCACATTGCCCTCATCGGCGGCTGCAAAACTCGGCTTGGCCGTTTTGTCAGCTTTGGCTGTAGCTTCCTCCTCCAAGGTCTATCAATTCGCTCTGCTCTACTCCATCACCATTGACATACCTGACTGTCATGTCCCAAAGTCGTACCGTGGTGTCCTCCTTCAACTTGTCGTGTCGCTCTTTCATCAAACCACGCACCGCTTGTCTCTGCCTTGCTCAGCAGAACCGTGGGACTCACCCGTTGCAGCAGGGCAGGCGCACTTGTCAAAGGCTGCTTTCATTTTTATCCTCTTGGCTTCTTCGTCCTGCTCTTCTTGCTCCACCTGCCGGTCGCCGCGCATGAAGTCGCTGCAGAATGTGTGTAGAACCCCGACCTGGTTGCGGTCTTCCCTCATTTGCTCTTGCAACTCCCGGAGCCATCGCCTCAGAGGAACATTGGCCTAACAAAGCTCTGGCTCTGCAAGGCATGCTGCAAGGAAACCGAGTCCAGCAGCACGTGTCTTCGAAGAGCAGCGCTGGGGCCCCTCTTCTTCACGGTCGGCTCGTAGTTCCTGTGGTATTGTGTTCAGGATATTCCATATCTCGGCTGTAACTGGTTGGCCATGCAAGGGCTTCTGGTTCATGCTCGCAGCAAGTGGCCCAATTTGCTGAGGAGAGCACCTCAACGGCCTTAGGCCCACCTCCGAGTTTGAGGCAACCGCTGACCTGAACAGGCCAAAGCTTTTTCATGACCCACGTGAAGAAGCTTTCAGCCTGCACCCCGGCCTAAAAGGCATGGGAACCTCGGCCACAGCCTTGACTTCATCGGTTGGCCGATTACCTCGCAGCCGTAGCATTGACTTCATTGTTGTCGCATCCCCTCGCCCAAGAAGCAATCGAGAGCGCGGCATAACATTACTCCTTTGAAGTTGCCCAGGCCGGATGGTGGTGGAGGGGTATCAAAGGGAGCGGCACCTGTGACAGCGTGGCACTTCAATGCCGAGCAGCAAACAGCTCGCAACGGGCCACGGGCCTTGGCCCTCCATGGCTGCACGGCCTGCCAGCAAGATGCCCATGTCGGCTGGAGTCTTCATGACTTACCACGCCCGAAGGAGAAAGTAGCCGGGTCCTGGCCTTGCGCCGCCCGGCCGGCTCACTAAATTCAAGGGCAGATTTCTACGAGGGAGTCGGGCCGAGCAAGTGGATGAAGCTGAGTCCAGCATGGCAGGTCACGCGTCAGCTCAAGACGAGCACATGCCGGTGGCAAGAAGTCCACGTACAAGAATCCTTTTTGCGAGTGAGACCAAGGCAAAATTCTTGTTACACCGGGGCCGATCTACTTTCAGGCACTGAACGTGGTGCCCACATGGAGACATAAACATTGCGACGGGTTGCAACACTGTGGGACTTGCCGTGACGACGCTTGCGCGAAGCCTCTGCACTAGAATCCCAACACATTCCTTGCTTAGCATCCGATCGAGAGTTGCCTGCTAGCCAATAGCACTGTTCTTGCAAGACTGCCAATAAGGACGTGACTGTTGAAATGAACATCAAATAAGATGAGTCTACCCAGCAGATGCTGGTCTGGCGCCAAAAGAGGCGCAGCTGTCGCTAACCTACGGAGCTTGGCTGAAAAGGCAGGCTCGACACGGTGGCATCTGAGTATGCTACGAATTCTGCTTACTGATCGGTGGCGCCTGTCGGACGGTGCCGAACCTGAAGAAGATACCGAGACACCCACAAGCCTTGTTGCTCTGGGATCGAAAGGCTCAAATGCGCTCACCACGAGCATAGGCAGCAGCTGCACCATAGTTGAAGGCTTGCTGGCCTGGATACCTCTGTAGACAGTACTGCGAAGCTTCGACTGATGGGATGGATTTCGGAAAGTCTTGCGAACCTTCTACGACCTACTTGCCCTGCACATCGATACTCGAGACCTGCTGTGCTAAGCATGCCACCCGCCCTGGACAGCCGCTTGCTGGGAAGCTTGCGCCTGATTCGTCATGTCTGACACAAGCAGATGTCGAGTCCAGGAGTCAGGAGATCAAACCGAGATCCCAGCATAAGCATTCTGGCCTCGCTGGTCCATGTACCTGTACTCGTGATGCAACTATTCCCCCGCTTTGCTCCTTTGACCTCTGTCTGTCCTCCGATGAGCAAACAGACGTCAGCTAAGGCCTGATTCCGAACACTTGGAAAGGGGAGGTCATGGGACCTGTGGCCTTGCAGAGTGCGCTGCTCCAAGAGGGAAGTCAGGCGATGGGGCAGACATGCGGGCGCTGTGCAAGAGCATGACATCGGTCGCTCGTCTCAGAAAAGCTGCTTTACCATCCCTGTCCAGGTATCTGAGCTCTCGCAAGACTTCAGCGACTAAGCATCACGATTCAAAGCCGAATCGATTGGCGATGCGCTCCTCGGTCATGCACGTAGACTCCCCTTACCGGACCCCGGACAGGGCCAGGATCCGGAGACAGCGGGGGGGAAGTGGGGCAGGAACGCTTAGGATGCGGGGAAGCATGCAAGCGAGGCAAGCGCAATTTAAATCAGAGAACACTTACAGCAGCGGCTGTCTGCTACAAGACCCTGTGTGACAGCAGACCTTGAGTGACGCTGGCACGGACCGAACCGAAACTCGAAATAACACAAGCACGCCATCGAGCATGAGCGGGACGCGGGATGATGCAGGATGGGAGCGACGCGAGCCTTGTCGCGAGAGACGTGCGGGACGAATCTGCGGGGCAGTGTCACGCAGGGCTCGCCCACGGAACGACAGGCTTCACAGCTGGACAGCAAACGCTGCATGACCACTCTCCCTGCTCTGCTCAAGCATGTTGTGCTCAGATAGAACTGTCGTGATAAGGAAGTTCAGCATCCACGAACTGTGCACAGCAGGCTCACTGCGCCGCCCAGTAGCGCATGTCAACGCCTTCCTCGCAGAGGGCCACAGACTTCACCTTCTACTTCTGCAACTTCAACACTTACAGCACTCCCAGCACTTCGCTCCTGGCCAGCCATCCCCTGCATCTGTAGGTTTCGCTGCTGATGCTGTTGCTGCTGTTGCTGCTGCATCTGCGAGGTCCAGTTCTGGCAGTTGCGCAACGAAGCTCATGCATGCCACTGAGCAGACGCACACTCACACACACACACGCACAAAAGCACACACGCAAAAGCACAGACTGCAAACTCTGCAGAGAACTTCTCGTGTGGTGCAGGGGGCCAATGTCGCCAGGTCCACAGCATACATCTGCATCCATTGGCTATTGCCAGCCGCCCATTGCATTGCTTGTGCTTGCCTCAGACTTGCACAATGTCTGCAAAAGAAGCCCATGAGGTTGAATCATGGACAGGGCAGCTGCTGCTCTTGTGATGGCTATCCCTCAGACTTTTCCTCTGTCGGAGTGTCCGCACAGTAACTTACACAGTGCCTCGCCCTCATCTTGCATTTCAGACGGGAGCGAAGTCCCTGAGTCGCTTCATTGGATCCCTTCGTTGAGGGAAGGTTTGAGAGTCGAGTGGTTTCATGCTGCTGGACTTGGGAAGGCTTGGCTGCTTTCTGGCAGCAAGCAGCGTCGGCTCTTGTTAGCACATCAACAAGCTGTAGCTTTTGCACTCAGCTGGATCATTTGGGGGTGGGAGAGAGGGCTGATCATGAGCGGCATCATTCGGGCCTGTGTCGGGCCTTTACAGGCAAGCATTTGGGGCTGGCGCGTGATCTCAAAACTTGCTGTACTGAGGCTCCAGGTCTAGGGGGGCCCACAACGTGTTTCAGAGTGGCAACCCGGTGATGCAGACACAAGCGATGCCGCGAGAGCACCGCAATGGATGGGGCCGTGCTCCACTCTGATGCGGAATGCCGCACAGAGTCGCCTGGCACCTGATGCCCCTCTTCTCCACCAGCCGTCGTGAATCGCTGCAGCATTTTAAGCGATCCGAGGGAAAATATGGATCCCTGTTTCTGGGAAAAAATCGGTACGTGGTGCCATGCAAAACCACTTACAAAAACACTCGGAATCCAACGGATCCGCGGCTGACATGGTGCGGCCGGCTTGCTGGGCCTCCATGGAAGCGCCATTCCAATGCTGGAAAGCTCCATATTGCGTAAACAAACAAAAATATCACAGAGGAACTGCACCTGGGCCGCCATCCATTGATCTCGGATCCATTTCTGCTGCTGCTGTCTCTGTTGCTCCTCAGCCTCAGCAACACCGATATGGAAATCGAACGGGCTACACGGGGATCGGTGCACAGCCGATGCACCTGCTCCTTGAACTTGCTCTGGCTCTCTGCCTGCACGTTGTTCCAAGCTTTCAGCATGCAGGGCGCGTCGCACGCCCCTTCGATCAAGCAGTTGCACATATGTGCACACGTAGAACTTTCCGCAACAAAAACGCAATTGAAGGCCATGTCACATTGTGTCCTAGCCGACCGAGACTCCCATCACAGCACTGGCCACAATCCTCTGTTTATCGATTCTGTCCCCGCGCTTGCCTCCTGCTGCCGGCGGAGTTGCCTGGCACGGGTGTGCGACAAATCACTGCGACTAGTACAGCATCACCACCCCGGCCGCAAGACCCTCGGGAAAGCGTGATAGAAAGACTCTTGCTGTTCTTCGTAGCGCCGTCGCCTTACGATCCGAGACTGCGAAACAGGACAGGAGCTGCAGAATCCGCAACTGCCGATCTGGGCTGCCCGGCTGCTCCGTCCTCTCTCTGAGGACTTGCTCCTGCTGCCGACGCTCCTGCTCTTCTGCGCGGAGCTTCTCCTGAGCTTTTGCTCTCCGTCGCGATCACATCCTTCAACTGGACCATGCATCACCATGGCTGTCCTCTTCGGCTGCCTTCCATCCGCCGGTTATTTCTTTGTGCCTGGTGTCGAAGTACCTTAGTTTGCCCGCAACAGTTCAGGCTCAGGGGTCCTGCCGTCGACCGGAACTAGGACTAGGATCTGGACTTAGCAATTGTCTGCTCTGACAGCGGATTCTGCTTCTCCGCCTCACCAGCCACACACTCGCACTGCCTTCCCACTGCACTCATACTGAACTTCTTCGCCCAACCTGTCTTCCCCAGGCCACGAACAAGTCTGTAAGTACCTCTTCCTTGGTCTCCTGCAAAACGAACTCTGGATGCCAACATGCAGCACTGGCATTGGCGTGCCGGACCACAAGCAGGCTGGAAGCCACGATTGCCGATATCTCTTCTCACAAAGCCTTAAAGTTGTGGTGGGATGGACAACCGAGTTGAAAGACGCCCGTCCCTCTCGCATGATGCCGATGCAACACATGCTCTCCAAGCACATGTCAAGCGAAAACAAGTGCAGAAGCAGCATGAGCTCTCAAGAAGCAAGACTGCATTGCAAGTTGCTCATGTCATGTTGGTCCTTGTTCGTGTGCGGCTTGATTTGGACCTTGATTCCATTGATGACGCACTCGTTGCCCTCTTCCACTATGGCCTGCAGAAGGTGGCAGGCTTGAAATGCGGAGGATGCCAATCGAAGAGCTTTGTTTCACTGTCATACATACTTGCATTGAAGCTTCGCCTGTCTCACTCTGACATCTGTCATCGAGACTACCGCGCAGCCCATCGAGCTATGTTTCCGCACGGTGACCACCTCACCGACCTGCATGCAGACTGCTTCAGAAGAGCCTCTTGACGCCCTGCTCATGCGATCTTCACCTGCTCCACCGCTTGGCGGCGAGGATCGTCGGAGCGATCGATTCGCTCTAGACGCTCCTGACACCACTCGTTGTGATCACTCCGAGTCCCCGCTGTCGGAGTTACAAATTGCTAGAAGATCAGGAGCCTTCTCGCCCTCTGTTCGGTCTCGTTCACCTGACAGGGCAGCGACTCACGGACAGACAAACACCTAGACGTCCAAGTACCAGCCTTTTCCCTTCTTGCCCCCTTTCCCGCGACCTGCAGTAGCTGTCAGAACTAAATTCACAAAACTTCCTACGTCGTCCCAACTCAACTCGAGTGCCCAGCCTTTTTCGCCACGGTCCTGTCTGTCCCCTCTGTCATCTGCAACGGGCACAGAGCCGGGCGACACCTACAGTCAAGACGCGGATACATGTAGAAATGATCCCCCCAATGCTTCGCCCCGGCGAGGGCGGGGCAACTGGTTGGCTGCCAAGCGCGGCAAGGATGTCCTGGAATTGTTACGGGGTCCCGCAGCAGGCGGATTTAGCACCACATCTTCATGCCCGAACTGTGCCTGTATCTTTATAGCTACTTCTCGAGTCCGCTGGCTTGCAGGTCCACCTGTTGCCTTTATGTCAAGTTTTCGCTGCAAAGGCTTCAAGATCTACTCGACTTGAGGGTTGGTGGCGGAAGAACTCCAAAGTGACGTCTGGCCCCGACATGGCCCCCGGCGCTCGAAGACACAGCAGATGGTGGTTATGCTCTTGGTGGTGATACTGACCGAAGAATACCGAAGGCGCGTGATGTCAAGCCTTCTCATGTGACGACTAAATGTGGGGAACTTTGCATTCGCAAGCAAAGGAGAACGTGGACAGCTGACATGACCGGGGAGAAGAAGAAGGCGGAGGAGGGGACAAGTGCACAAGTCAAGACCTTCGAGCTCATATTGCGCTAGAATACAGTCAAGAGCCTGATGCTAGTTCTTGCAAACACTGACAAACCTCCAAAGTTCATCCACCAATCAAGTCCGAAAGTGTCACGGCATTACGTCGTCCTGCTGCGGTGGCAGGCTGTCGAGTAGCGGCTTCGTAGTGGGTGGTGCCACGTTCGGCATCGGAGCCTTGCATGCAGGGCCGCGACCATCTCAATCTCTCAGCCACTGTAGCTTTCGGAAACTAGGCTCGCAGCCGAAACTTGCGGAGATGCCTGTGGCATCGGAGGAGCCTGTGTTACATGTCGCTTTTGCGCTCTTTCCTGCCTCTTCTGAAAACATCTAGGTGCAGCCAACCATTTCATGAACTTGAGATCCGTACAGGCACCACAGGCGGCGCTGCCGGCGCCGCCAAGTGATCGCGCCTGCCAGTGCTACATACTGACCTGGATGCTCTCGGCTGTGCGAAGATGTGCTAAGACCGTGACTCCAGCTCCTCCAAAGTTAGAGCATTTTCCGGCAAAGCCTGAAGGGATCCGCTCCGTCGCGGTTGATTCCAGAGAATAAAAATGCATGGGGAGCCTTTGGCATGCCCAATGTCTGTTCGCCCTCCATCATCCGCTCGTGCACCGGAAGGTGGCCCAGTGTCCACTGATCCAGGCCACCCTGATGCACAGAAGCGTTTTCGATCATATTCGAGAGAGGGTGCACCGCCTCTCCATCTGGCTGCGCGGAAGTGTCTGGCCTTGTGGCAATGACAGCGGGCTGCATCATGAATGTAAGGTTACAGTTTGCCTGCTTGCAAGGGTGAGCTGAGATTGCATCATGTCCCATAGAACACCTTCTCCGTCATCGTCCTTAGAACGTTGGGAGCTGAGCTGCCGCACAAGCTGAGTTTAGACACGCGGCCGCACGTCGCTAGACGACAATGCCACGCCTCCTCGGCTACCGGCTCTTTCTTGTCCTGCACTGCACACATCGCAAGAAGCTAACATTTGCAGGGCGGGTTCTTGCTGGCTTGCCTTGTAGCCTTTTCTGCGGCTGCCAGCCTTGTCTGTTGGATCCCAGCTGCAAGCATTCGATGCTGTGTCACAGCTTCGTTTCTGCCCGCCTTTTCCCACTGGCCGCCCCACCAGCCATCTTCGGCCTGCATGTTCTGCCGTAGCTTCATGAGTAGACAAGGTGCTGTTGCCCACGGCCTGCCCTTTCGAGCTGTTCCAGTCGTCTCGCCAGGACTCCCACTCCCAGCTCTTGCTGTTCTGCAGCCAAGCATGAGGTGCTGATCGCATGTTGCAAGGAGAAATATGCAGGCGCACCCATGATGCGTTGCCGCCGCTTTCCCACCTCGGCTAAGGCGATGCCGCCGCCCCGACAGCTGGACGCACTGGAGAAAGCTGAGGCAAACTGCCATTGTCCACCACCCTGCCACTCTTGATCATCGCTGCTCTGCCTTCAACTGACAGGCAAGTGCGACCATCCAGCAGCTAGCATCTAGACATCTGGATTATGCGACTTGTTCAGGAAAGCTTTCACAGCTTGCCGTGACTTTCACGCAGGCACCGCCATGCTGTAGCACGATGCTTAGGCGTAACTGTTAGGCAGCAGGCTCCCTTCATGAAATGAGGTGCGCAACCGAGTCCGAGACTTCGTCCCAGCAAAGAGGATCGCGGGATCGGGTGGCAGGGAAGCTGGCGAAGAAGAGCTTTAGCACGACATTTCTCCAGCAAACAAGCGATCACGAGCACAAGCAGGCCTGCTGGCATTTCTGGCTCGGTACCATTTTTGCCGCCTTTGCCTGACACGCGCCCGGCATCGGCATCACAACCTCACATAGCTCAGCGCGTGCACTGACGATCAGCTGCGCCTCCACGCTTTGCGCCTTGCAGTTATTGCAAATCGGATGCATCTTCACGGAGTCACTTTTCTGAGACTTGCTCTCCATGCTGGGACAGGGACGCTCAGCTTCTCTAGCTTCTTTGGCTGCCTTCCTGACATGAGGCGGATAGCAGCTCATGCATCTACAGCTCATGCATCAGGGAACATCTTGTGGCTTCGGAGTGCTAACAGCAAACGGTTAACAGTCTGTGCCTCTCCGCTTCGCGGCGCTGCTTCTCCTGCTCTTTCTCAAGACGTTCCTTGGGTCTCTCAATTGCTGGTGCAAGCTACATGCTGGTTGGCTGGGCAAGCGCAAGCTTCTGAGACCTTCTGAGAACTTGTCTTGCTCTTTCTTGTCCTCTTCTTCCTTAAGTTTTCGCTCCTCCTGCATGAGGAGGTGTATGCCAACATTGTCGACCCAGCGACTTCAATCCCTGCCTTGGCTTGCTTTTTGTTTTTCACTGTGCCCCACTCTTCTTGCTCGTGGTTTGCACGATCCTGTCGCGGCAGGATCAACGCCATTAAATGCTGGCGTTGCCGCTCATTCTATCACCGGATGTCACGAACAGGAACAGATGATGCAGAGTCTGGTCGAGAATTTGGTCCGGAAAGCTGAGAGCAGCACAACGGCCAGCAAAAAGACGGGAACAAATTCACGTGAATGAAGACAAACACACACTGGCTGCACCCTTGAAACAAACAAAGCATGTAGACGGTGCTTCAGAAATTGGTCCGATGACGACAAGTGCTCTGGAGAAACGGACGATCGCTCCATATGATTGCACGTTGGCAAGATGCCACCGACGTCCAGTCAAGAGCGCATGGCAAATGCTGGCGAACAGGGCGAAGCTAGTCTGCTGCAACAGCGCCTCGACAATGTTGGCCACAGCTACCTGAATTTGATGCCTCGGTGTTGCAAATGTCTGAATTCGTTAGTGTGTCCTTGTTGTCGCGCAAAAGACACACCAATAGACAGCACGTGACATGTAAAGCCTGTAAGGCCTCGACTCATCGTAATGACACCGCCGAACTAAGGCAGCAATGTCGTTTCGGGAGTATTCGAAAAAGTCAAGGACATCCGTCCTCAGCTCAGGGAGCCAGCCGACCGATGTGCCAGACGCTTCTGGCGTGCTCTTGTCCAGTGGCACGACACGACAACGGAAAAAAGGGACGCATATAGTACGAAACGGCGGCAATGGTTGCCTCGCATCGTCAGCTCCGCTTAATGTTTTGGGGAGAGATGCTTTGGCAACCGCGTGCACTGGACATGGACGTCATGCAGGTAGTGCAAACGGATACTCCGGTAGTTAACTGCGGTCGAAGCTGAATACCATGCCTAGCATGCAACACTTATCTTTTGTCCTGAGGTCAGATAGACGCTGTCAGCCGAAACTGGCACTGCATACTTTGCTTATCTTACTTCGCCTGCTAGTACATTAAGTGCTCGGCAGCTGCTGGATATGCCTCTCAGTTCGCGGAGAGTACCTTAAGCAAGCTTCACGTGGATGCTTGTGCCCGTCTCTGTCCAGACTGCCCGAACTTAAACTGGGAAGGCAGCGTCTTTTCGTCAGCATCGCCCTTTGCCGCAACCTGCAAGTGAGCAGGTTGAAAAGAATCTTCAGTTGTCATTTGCAAGAGCTCTCTCAGGTATTTGCGGTTTCGAGAACTCGAAGCTGCTGGGCAACGCGGACATCGTTGCTGGCCGGAGCCTCTCCGTACGGACTTTCTGGACCCAACCCTCGGGACTCGCAAAGAGTCTGCACGTCCAGTGAAATCCAAAGACCCCGGCGGCAGCAGGTGGCGCCCCGTTTTCTATCGTGGCAGCCGGCGGCTGCGCCTGAAGGAGACTTGACATGTGCCCATCACTTTTCGCCCTGGCCCGCAAGCACTGCACCTTCTTCTTGGTCACGACCTTTTTAGACATGGCCAGACCCAGACCTAGGCATCACGTTGAAGCAGGCAGAGGCCAAAGTCCACTCAGCTCCCACCTGAGGGCAAGGGTGCCCCAGGCCTCTGCCCTAGGGGCAGAGCCCAAACCTATCAGGCGGGCAATCTTCGAGCCAACTTTCCCGGACCATGTGCCAAGGCGCCCATGTCCGCAAGATGACGCTGTGCAGGCGAAAACAATGCCAAAAGGGCGCTCTGTTTTGAGACGCTGATTCGCTCATTTGTGCGCTAACGGTTCTTGGACATGCCTCCAGCCTTTCAAGCTCTATCTGTGAAGGCATCCGATGCGATCGCAGCAAATTACAGCTCTCGCGGGGAAGTGCGGTGCAGCAAGCACCATCATTTCTCAGACGTTTCGGCCTGATCGGATTTATCAGACCTTTCTGTTGTCTCAGCTCTGTCGCTTCTTGCACCTGCCGCACGACCGGGCAGCAATGAAAGAAATCACGTGCACTAGCTAAAACGGCAATGTCACACCCGTGTCAACCCTCGCACCGTGCGCTTCTTTTCTTTGCCAACCTGCCATCTGAGAGAATACCTAATCTATCATGTTTCCACTTCGCCGGCCTCGAGCATCGTCCTTGTCCTTCCTCTGCCAGGACCAACCTTGTTTCGAACAGTCTGGCAACACAAGAGACTCGGGCTTAGGGGACTCTGCGCGCCCGTGTGGCCAGGGCGTCGGCTCCGTCCTCTTTTCCAATCGTTCCCCCACCAACCATCACTATCCTGAGAGGACAACTAGATAGATCTGAGAGCGGGAAGACAGCAGCGAGCAAAGGCGACGGCCTGTTGCGACTTGTCCCAGTCGTTCCACTTCTTGTTCCACTCCCAGCGGCCATTCTGGCATGTAATCAGGGGGGCCCACAGGCTCATCTTCCAGAGGTGATCCGAAACACGATACGTGTCAAAATGTCACAGTGCACTGTTGGTCCACAGTGAGGAGGCGAGTCGGTACTTACACGCGCGAGAATCGCCACTCAACAGCCCTCGTGCAAGACAAGATCACCAGAGACCTTTTAATTTTTCGACATGCGGGAACGACACGAGGACGGATGCCGACGGATGCGGCCCCTGCTTGAAAGCTCCCTTGGATTCACGGAATACTTTCAAGGCGGGTCGTTGATTCGTAGATGACATGGAGGTGACCTAGCTTTGGGTCAGTGTGTTAGGACGGCTGTGAGCTACGGGGGCGCCTGAAGTTCACATCTGCGGCATGAGAATGAACACCGGATGCCATCCTTGCCTGAGGCTTTGCTCCATCATCTTCACGCCAGGACTCCCAGTCCCAACTCTTGTTCTGCACAAGACATGCATGTCCGAAGAGCAAGCACGTCTGCAAATCAAGCTCGCGCTGACTATGCGAGGGCGCACCCATCTCTCGCCAGAGCCTTCCCACCTCAGTCACACTGAGATGAGGTGCTCTGCCCCGGTCAATTCTGCTTTGCTCTGAGAACCACACCACTGGCCGCCTTGCCAGTGCTCCTTGTCCTTCTCTTTGTCCTTTTCTGCATCCTTCTCCCTGATCTTCTCTCGCTCCTTGTCCACCTCCTTGTCCTTCATGTCTTTCGTGTCCTTCTCCTCTTTCGCAGGCTCCTTCTCCTTCGGCTTCTCCTCTACCTCCTTCTCCTTGGGCTTCTCTGCCTCCTTCTGCTTCGGCTTCTCCTGCTCCTTCTCCTTCGGCTTCGTCTCCTCCTTGTGGTCACCGTTTTGCCTTAGCGCCAATAGCTTTCACAAGACGTGGTAGGCATCACATTGCATGATGTGTTTGTCTTCTTTAGCTCCAGACTCCGGCTTGGGCCCAGCAAAGAGGATGGCCGGGTCCGGCGGGAGGGCCGAAGCTGAGGCAAAACACAAGCGTCTCTGTGACTAGGGATGCTTCCAGTGCTTCCACCTTGCACTACCTCGAAACCCTTTTGTTGTGGGTTGATTTGGATGGCAAGTGTTGAAACAGTTCATTATCGGCTGCATCTGTTCAAACACAATACCGCCAAGCTGTACTCACCTTGCTCAGGAGAGGCATTGTTACGGCCCCTGTCGGATGTAAAACCTTCCGAAAGTGCGGGGACAAGCAGTCAGGTCATTCGTCTGAGCTGTCTTACATGTCACAGGGGATCTTTTCTGAGTAACTGGGTCCCGACAGTTTGGAATTCATCAGCACTAGAGAGGTTGTATCCCACAACATCAGCGTAGCCTGAGGACGTATCGTGGTGGAAGCCATTCTTGCCGGCCCCCTTGCCTCCTGAAGCTGTGCTTCTTAGCAAACTTCCAAAACTTGAAGCGTGCAGAACGCCCGCCTCCGCCTTTGCCTGCCTTTGGGAGAGACTTTGGGGCGGCTACGCCATTCACGGGTGCTTCTCGAGCTTTGGCAAGCTCTGCTTCGCGAGCATCTGCCGCAGCTTTCCTGCTCTCTGCGCAATGCTACACCTGACTATGAAGCTCGTCGCAACTTTAGGGAGGACCTCTCGGCTTCTCGGCGCTTGTTCTCCTCCTCCTTCAGCTGTCGCTCCTGCAGTCTCCACCATCACTGGCGCCTGCCTAGAGATAGCAAACAGCCGTCCTGGTCTTTCTTCTCCTGCTCCTTTTTCTCTTCCTCCTCCTTGATCTTTCGCTGCTCCTCAGCATGTCAGGCCGCAAGCCCCGACAGGGAATTGCTCGGGCTGCCAACTGACATCAAAAAAAGCAGTCGTTGGCAAGTTGGTTTTGGCCAAGGGCCTTCACTTGCTTCTTGTTCTTTACCGTGGACCACTCGTCAGGTTCAAGGGGTGTTCGGTCCTGCCAGAGCACTGCTGAGCTGCACTAAGACCCGGCATATGATGTGCGTCTGCATCCTTCGGCGAGATGAACTGTTCTTTCTTGTCGTGTTCCTTCTTCTCCTCCTCTTCCTTTAGTTTGCGCTCTTCCTGCAAGACAGATAGCGCTGCAAGCAGTGGCATCAACAGGCTTCGACAATCTCTCTGTCAAGTGCAGTCCTTGGCTTGCTTTTTGTTCTTCACCGTTGACCACTCGTCCTGTTCTTGACTCACGTAGTCCTGGCGGTGATTGGCGTTGGGCATGTAAACCCTCTGACTCTGCTGGTCAAGGTTATGGCGATCCTGTCTATGCCCAGGAGGGTGATCGCTCTTGACATCCACCTCTGCCTCCGCCTCCTCGTCCTTGGCTTTCTTCTTCTCCTTCCGCACATGTGAGATCGTCTGCGGGTAACTCAAGCTTCACATCTTGCTGGAACTCTGAAGGCGCTCTTGTGCACCGGCCTTCGTCTGCTTCTTGCGCCCCACTGTCTCCCATTGATCTTGGCCATGGTTTGAACGGTCCTGGATTGCAATCAAACACGCTTCGCTCCTTCCTGCTTCCTTCCAGCTTCACCATGCCATGAACTTTTCATGGTGCGCCTCGACGATGTTGGCAACAGCTATCTGGATCTGGTTCCTAGGTCCACTTGATTAAAGCCACGGACTGCCAAGCTGTCACACCTGGATCTGACCGGCAGTCTAAGGCAAACACTCGTCGTAGTGACACTTCCGGACCAAGACAGCGATGTCATTTCGGGAGTACTCAAAAAAGTCGAGCACACCATGCCTTGGCAGGCAAGCTCCGTGCAGCGAGGACAGAATACCCTTGCAAGGTAAACAAGTGGTACTTCAACATGCCTCGTCCTTGGGGGGTGTGTCCAAAGTCTTCTTGGAGACTCTGAGAAGTTCGCACTGACGTCCGTGGCAAGAGGTGGACACGTCTGAATCATTCTCAACTGCAGCACCAGTGGGTGTTTTTTCGGAGTTTTCGTGTTCGTCCTGACATCCTGGCTTCATCGGCAGTTTTCGCAGGAATTGGCATAGGGGAGTGTGTCCAGGGCGGAGTTGCCTGTCGAAAATCCTGTCTGCTTGGCTTGGAGAGGAGGGGGCGCAGAGTGGTGCTGTCTGCAACGGCCCGTTTGGTGGTGAGGGGGTCCTGCGCCGCGGTTGATGATTCCGCATTGGCTTAAGATCCAGCTAGCTGCAATTCTCGATGCACTTGCCCAAAAAGTCTAAGTACGTGACAGCTGCTGGATGTACCTCTCTGCTCGAGGGGAATACCTGAGTCAACCACTGCAATGCACTGACCTGCGAGCAAACAAAGCAAAACTGGGCCCAGGGCTTTTTCTCGTCAGCATCGCCCTTTGCAGCCACCTCTGATAGCTGTGCTGGGTGAGGTTGTACAAGGGTGCATGTGATGCAGTGCAAAGTATGCTCCGGACGGTCTCAAGCACGCGCCTGCCGGCTGCTAACAATCATCTTGGCAACTCAACTGATTTTCACTTCACAAGCATTTCAGGCTTGGGCAACTGTTGGGCGACACGAACATCCTTCGGTGCCTTGACACGGAAACAGATCAAAGTCTCTGCAATACATTCCGCACGTCTTCGTCTCACTACCAGACCAGAAGCCACTGGTAGATTTCAAGCAAGATGTCAAGCCGAGGTCTCTGCGACGACAGGTGTAGCCCCGTTCTCTGCTGCGGCCGATCGTGGAGGCTGTGCCTGAGCTCAGAATCTTCCAAAAAGCTCAGGAACTTTTCGACTTCGCTGTGCCTTCTTCTTCGTCACGACCTTCTTCGACATGGTCGGACCTGGCACATAAGGACGTCAGATTCAAGCTCCTCCGCTGTGCATCAAGCAGTGCATAGCTCCGAACCTGGTGGGCAATGCCCCAGGCCTGTGCCCAGGGTCAAGCCCAACCGTCTTGAGCCGCAACTCGACACGTAAACAAGCTGCAGTGAGCAACCATGCAGACAAGGAGAATCGACTCTGTTGTGTGGCATGATACACCGGCACTTGTTAACGAGCTTCATGGTTTTGCCATCCAGTGAGTCTGATGCTTGCGCAGACCCGCGCAAATGCTGGCATGCAAAGATGGCTGCCAGCACTTGCCAACGTCGCTCCACAACCGCATTGGTTGCAGATGCATGTCGACCGACTTACGACACCCACGTCCGTCTAGCACATGCGCCACATCAGTTCAGCATCGACGCATAGTCCACATACTCTTGAAGGGAAACGTCTCCGGACTGATCCTGGGCATATGAAGACAGTTTATGCTGCGATAGACTGATAGACGTCGAAACCCGGACTGAAGTTTGAAAGAACATGCAGATTAGATGCTTTGTCGGAGTCTAGAAAGAATTGGTACAGCTCCACGTCAGATATCCCGCCCTTGAAGTGCGCACGAACCTGCCATGCACAGCAGCCGTCACATGGGTGGAGTTGGGAACGCACAGGGAATGGGTGCACGTCCAGTTCTCGCCTCTTGAGCGTCCATCTGGTCATCCTGATCTTATTGAAGCTCGGGAAAGAACAGGAGAGCTCGAGCCGAGCCGTCAGTCGCTCCTTGTTGAAATCCACATCGACGAAGTCTTGCTTGAACTCCTGCATCTGGGCTGCAGTGACCTGTCCAACAAGAGTACAGCTAGCACCATAGCAGGGCTGGCAGGCAAACAGGTAAGTGCACGGCTGGTTTCGGTGTGCTCAGTTCCAGATTTTGTATGTGTGGCGGGATCTGTATCCTGGGTTCGCAAATGTGAGCAACCTTCAATGATCTCAAAGCGCGTGCAAAACGACTGAGACGACGACAAGGGCTCAGCCGCGACATGTAGCATCGAAGCCAAGCCCGCCACGAGACCAGCACCTGGAATGGCAAGTAGAATGCCCAACGGCCATAATATGAGAACCCAATCTTCAACACTATGAGTATTAATATAAACGAAAGCAGGCACCTCGAAGCAACATGGCCTCAACACATCTGAGACACTGCGACAAGGACTCTCTGCAAGAAAGTGTCCTTGTGCTTCCGTCGGCTGATTTATTTATGCTGTGGGTGAAAAGTTACAAGGAAATCGGACGGTCATTGCTGAAGGGCTGAAGATCGGCTGAAGTGTGTACTTGACCTAATTTGGCTCTCTGGAGGTCAGCAGCGAAAAACAATCTGCAAGCAAATGCGAATCCGATCTTGACACCCATGTGTCAGCCGAGTCAGCAATTTTCTAGCAGTGCCGCAGACTGGCACACCTTCCATGTGCCATGCACAGGCCGCGAGCTGAAGCTGCAAGCGTCAAAAAGTATCCAGCCTGGAGCACTGTGCGCTCACAGAAGCACTAGGACTCATCACATTAGAACACGCTCTGCCTGCCTGAACAAATGCAGGTTAGGCCTCTCCTATCTTGGCCTTGGGCCACTGAAAAACGAATCCTCTGCGAGCATCCAAAAGATGAGCTTTGCAGAGATGGGCTGAAGATGCTGAGGCGGGACATGTGCAGCATGTCCGACACCTCTGGAAGTTAAAACGTCACAGGTTGGCGAAGGTGCGTTCGAACCTCTCTCTGATTGCCAGGAGCACGATCTAACAAGAGGCTTCCCCTTTCGGGTATGCATGAAGCGGCCCTCGACTCTGTCGCACTCGCGGGCAGCATCGAGAATGCCAGCGGATCTAAACAATACTGATTTGGTAGAAACAGCTGTGAAACTCAGCAAGTCCGAGAAACGTCCTCGCGACCTCGGTCAAAGACCCATAGTGAGGGCAGGCTAGAAGGCTTCACAAACCCAAAAGCCACCGACCCAGTCTCATCTTGAAGACGGAGGCGGTCTCCCAGGCCTGGTCACGGCATCAGCTTACAGTGTTACAGCAGTTAGACAGCCCACTCTTTGGGATAGGGACCCGCTGGCCAGCAGGGCATCCTCCTGCTGGTTCTGATCAGCGAGAGGATTGAAAAGTTCCTGCACGGGCACCGGCAAGGAGTCTCTGCATGGAGTCCGTCACACAGCGGCATCCTTCATTTTCACCTCGATGCTCTGCAAAGGCGTCCTTAGCTTCTTGCTTCTCTAGCGTGGAAATCTAGCACGGGTTCCTGCCGCTGCTGGGGTGGCATTTCTTTCCTTCGTCTGACTAAGCCCGCCCGCCTCTCAAACCGGCCCAAACCTGCATCATTTTGCACCCGTCCTCATGCCAAACCCTCCGCCTTTGTCTTACTTGCTCGAGTCTTTCAACCATGCATGCTTTCATTGCTGCGGTGGCGGCTGCTGCGGGTTCCGCTTTTGCTGTGGTGCTGTTAACACTGCTCGTCTCCTGCTGCTCCTCCTCCCGCCGCTGCCCACTACCACTAACAGTACCACCACCACGACCACTACCACGACAACGACCACTACCACTACAATGTCTATGATTTCGACTACGCTGCTACTGCTACTGCTACTGCTGCTACTGCTACTCCTGCCCCTACTCCTACTCCGACTCCGACTCCTACTCCTGCTTCTACTCCTCCTCCTCCTCCTCGACCTCCTCCTCCTCCTCCTCCTCCTACTACTACTACTACTACTACTACTACTACTACTACTACTACTACTACTACTAGTACTACTACTACTACTACTATTTTTTTTTCAATTGAACGCTGCGCGAGCGTGCTCTGCGCTTTGCGGGCGCCTTTGGTCCCGTGCACTCGTGAAACTGGTTATCTGCTAGCATTCATCGCTCTTATTCCTCTCAAACTGCTCAGTTGAGTAAGACTGTACATCTATGGCTTCCTCCTCCGCCACCTTGTTGTGAACAGACGCGTCCGTCTGTGCACCTGTCCCAGCAATTAGGTCGTACTTCGGGCGAAGCCGGCGCCTAGAGTATCCGTCTTGTGGCGTCCCACACGGATTACTCATGCTGGAGACAGAAGGCCGTAAGGGTCACATGTGCGTAAACCTACATACGACTCGGAGTGCTTGTCGTGACTACCCCCCAATAAGCGACGCTCATGCTCTTGGCTTTCCTCGGACTGCTTCCGTTATTCTGGGTAGGTTTCCTGTAGAGCTGAGTGAGTCAAACAGCCGACAGCTGATTGACCATATCGGCTCAGGCGAAGTGCAGTGTCCTGCATTTTGCCGTGGCTAGCGCGCTGCTCTACAGCTCCCGAAGAGATTTGCAAAAGCGTCGGAAGAGCACCGAATTCCCAGAGGCTGTGCCATACGGGATTTGAGGAGTCTGTGACATTTACTAATTGCTCCCGTACTAAAATGGGTGCTTAGCCGAAGCGCCCATATTGGGGCAAGAGCAAATCAGCACTAAGCTGGACTAAAAAGTGGCGCACTAGGGAGCGGCATTCTCGCCGACGCTAAAAGTGATTGCAAGGCGTGCTGGGCCCTAGACTGATCTTGAGTGAACCTAGCACTAGGAGCCATGTCCTTTGGGGAGAGCGCGGCAGCCTTCAAAGCGCGAGCCAAAGACACTGGGGTGTCGGATGAGAGCATCGCGAAGCTTGAGGCGGAAGGGTTGACAACGATGGCAACTTTTGCCTTCTGTTGTCATTTCAACCCGGCTGCGACAGATGCTTGTGCTCCGGGCTCGTGGCAGTAGCAGGCGAGGCAGTCATGACGGCCAAAGGGAGCTGGGGGGAAGCTGACTAAATAAAAAGAGCTGATTGAGAGTAAGGAAATTACAGAGTGTGCATGTCCGCGTGCGCTCATGACACACTTGGCCTTGACGTGAGGCGGCCTGCGTCAACATGAAATTGACGACGGGCTTCTCACGCACGGGCGCCCTGCTTAGCCCTGAGGGCCGAGGTTGGGCCGGCATGCATCGCCTTAAGCGATGATGCTAACGAGTTCGTTGCAAGAAAAGCATGTAGACGTTTCGGGAGAGTGATTGAACCAAGGCCGCTGAGGCCCTCTCCGGAAGCTTGTAGTCGTCGCAAATCCACACCTGAGATCTCGCATCCGCGGGGTCCTCTGGCCAGAAGGCTCGGTAGTGCCCGGACGCTAGGGAGTCCCCAAAGTGGGCAACTCCTGCCAGGACTTGGTAGGATCGTTGGGCAGTGTGCTCGCTGGATGTCCACACGGACACCATGGCACGGCCGGTCCAGGCGCACGGCTGGGTATTCTTGACACCGTCTTGCCATCTGCAAATCACAACAGCTAGGAGTTCTGGGGCCCATACCAGCGCTCGACTAAAAGTTTGCGATTCCCAGAATCTTAGGCAGGCTTGGAGAGACAGAGGTCCCGTCGGAAGGGGAAGGAGAAGAGGACTGACTCCCACATCCGACTCCTCAACGATTCCCCCAGTACGACCCTGCCACTGAGTGTGCTGAAGGGATCCCATGGGCTTTTGCTGCAGATGGTGAAGAAATTCTGAGACATCGTGTTGCCTGCCATCTAGTCGCCAACCGGCAATGGCATGGCGAAATTCAAACAGGCCGAACAAGTTCAGAAGTCTAGGGGCACTCTCATCCCCGAGATGGGTTAAGACAGATTGAAAAGCACCCAGATCATACCCAAAGCTCGATACTTGATGCAAGGCCTGGAAGAGAGCGTTAGCGTAGCAGGAGTTTGCCGTGTTAGACAGTACGCGTTTGTGTAAGCCTGTAGGCTGTGGCTCTGTGTTCCTGGGGGCCTGCGCCACAGACTCCTGGTTCGAGTCTGTTGTAGGATGACGAGCTGTGCTCGACGAGTTGGAGGCTGTGCCATTCGACCTAGGTCTAAAAAAGCTGGCCAACGACTTTGTCTGAGGCTTGGGAGGCGGGGCGACGGGATCGACGTCCGCGTCAGGCTGCCCTCGCAGCCACTGCGTGCTTACCTGATAGAGCACC